GCCCCGACTTCGACGTATTCGGAGGACAGTCGCCGTCGTCGTGAACTCCTTAGACAGCGTGCGCACCTTCGCCACAGTAAGCTAGGCAATACTCCAGGGTACGCCAGGACGGTCGACCAGGAACTCAAGGACCTGACAAAGGAGCTCACACGAGTCCGTCGATCTCAGACTCGGATGCGGCGCGCCCGACTCGTGCAGGAGGCGAAGGGCGCCCTTCGCAGCGGTCGGGATGCAGCGTGTATGCGAGCGCTGCGGGCTGCAGCGAGATGTCGATATGGTCCTAAGCAGAGAGATGGCAGACTGGTCCTCTCGGCTCTTCCTACTTGCGACGAGTGGAAGGAGGTATGGGAGGGGCCTGGTAAGGAAGGGAGGTATGTCTGCGGTATTATTGGATTGGGAGCAGTGGAGGAGCACGCGGGAGGAGGAGACGTACGAGGAGGTAAGGGGCCCAGAGATTGGCGAGTTGGTCGATTTAGACATTCCGGCAATGCGACGCTATGTTAGACGGGCCCCCAAAGACGTGCCGTGCCAAATGGTACTATGCCCTTGGAACTGTGGCACATGCTGTTTTACCCAAACTGGCGTATTCGAAGTCGAGCGGGTCTCGGGGCGGAAAAGAAGAGTCTGTCGGTGAATATCTTCTGGGACGTTTTACGGATCGGGTTGGAGAAGGTCCGTGCACATTGTGCCTCGCCATTATATTGGCATCTGTCCTGGGGATCCGCGTTGCACCAAAAACATGCAGCGCGGCCCGAAGGGAAGAAGGGTGGTCCACGTATTACCGGTCGCGGGCAAAGCGTTCTTCGCCTCTCGGTCCGCGACCAGGCCACCCTGCGCGACCGTGGCTTCGTGAAAGGCCGACGTCGTGAGAATCCGATCCTGATTGCCCAGGTTGTGAGCCGCAGGTTGCGCCAGATCCGCAGGACCCACTGTGTGGCCCTGAAGGACATGACAAATGCCTTCGCCAGTTCTTCGTGGGACTCCATGGATGTGAGCATGGAGGTGCATGTGCGGCCCGAGGACGCGGAGTCATGCAAGCAGCGTTGCAGGTTGTCCGCCGTAGAACTTGCAGGCAACGCCGGCTCGATTATAGTTAAGACGCAAGAGGGGGGAGTCATGGGTGATCCTTTTGTGGTGAGTACCTTTCTGCAAACATTTTCACGACATATTTTGAGATGGAGTAGGGACTTGTTGGACGTTGACCCCGCGGCGAGGGCCTTGAAGGGGCGTTGGGGGGGACCTCTTGACGGATTTGTCATTGTTAAAATAGGCAGATGACCTGAACGAGTTTGTGATCGCTGAAAGGGTATGACATTTCTCGAGTTCATTGAAAAGCTTTCGGGGGTCGACATGCTGCTCAACCGTTGCCTTTCCGACTTCGGTTTGGCTCAGAACATCGCGAGACAGGAGTTCTTGTTCTATTTCTCGGGGAAGGGGGCGCAGTATTTCAGGCTTTTGAGGGGTCCTCGGCGTTTTGGTCTTCACGGAGTGCCCAGGGAAGATGCTCGATACCTTGGCCCGCATGTGGCTTTGAAAGATTGCGCCCGTCTAGAGGTCGCTAGGAGGTGTGCCGCGGCCCGCGAGGCTTTCTACTCACTGGGGGGATTTGGTCCCTTCCCATTGTTCGACGGCGCATGCGCTCGCTTCTACAAGGGCTGGTGCAGAACGCTCTTCTCTCAGCTCAGGAGTCTCTCTCTCTCTCTCTCTCTCTCTCTCTCTCTCTCTCTCTCTCTCTCTCTCTCTCTCAGCTCAGGAGTCTGCTCCTCTCGGGATTCTCAAGTGTTGGATGCCCGTCTAGCAGGAGTTGCGCGCGCTGTAATGCAGGGGGCGGCTGCGAACGGGGGGGGGGGGGGGATGTAAAGATCATGAGTGATAAGCAGGTCTTGGACTTCTGGGAACTGGCAGGCTCGCGAGTAGAATTGCACGTGCGCAGGCTGCGTCTGCGCCAAAGTTGGTCCGCCGACCCCGTGGGGGCCTCTCAGGTCTTGGTGGCGCTCTTTGGGGCTCTCGAGATTGATTCTGGTCGCCCGCCGCGCATGGGAGGTACCCTTACTCAGTATGCTTCGCCGTGGGCGCGACAAGTCGTTGAGGACCTAGAGCTGGCAGCCCGTATTCTAGATGGGCAGTGCGTGGAGGATGTTGCGAGGGACCTGCGGGTCCTCGCGGGCAGTGATGGGGGCGAGGAGTTCCGCATGATCGATATGACGCAGTTGCGGTTCAGGGAGTTCTCTTTCGCGATTCCTCCGCCTCCCAGGCCCTGTCGTCAGTGGTCGGCTTGTGCCCTCACATCTCCCTGAGTCTCCCGATGGCCCTCAGCTTGCCTGTCATATTGTCGGATGTCCGAGCGGGTTCCACACTTGCAAACAGTTGTTGAATCACTTCAGATTTGCACATCACCAACGGAACTTGCGGCTGTTCTTACTCCTGCGAACGTTTGTATATGTTGCAGGGCTGTATTCCGTGATCGTTGGTGTGCAGGCCGTCATTTACAGACAGCGATGATTAAGGGGGTATGTTCTGGCGGAGGGGGCCGCGCGTTGCTTCCAGTGCGTCAACCTGCTTCCTTCGCTTGCCGATTGTGTGATTCGGAACTGGGCGATCTGGACAGTATCTGTAGCCATCTGGTTCAGCACCATCTGCCAGGTTCCATATCCACGCGGGCTGCAGAGCGGCAGAGTACTGATGCCACCCGCCTAGGGCAGCGAGGAACTACCCCTTCCAGCGTGGTTCAAGGGCCGCAAGAAGCGCCGCACGGAGGAGGGCGAAGGCGCGGCAGAGGGCGGGGACAAGGATAAGGGCGACAAGAAGACCTCAGGCGGGGGCAAGGGCTCCAGCGGCGACACCTCCAAGCTCGCGAACGCCATGGGTCGGCTGATCGTCACGATGGACCGCGACCTGGAGGAGCTCAAGTCGGCCGTCTACGAGCGCGCGGTGCTGCCCGCGGACAACGAGCTCGTGGAGGCGTCGACTCGCGCGGGCAAGGGGTGCAACGTCAACAGCAAGGAGATGGAGGCGGCGCAGTCCAAGGGCGAGGGGCAGGACTGGAAGGGCAGAGGCAGCCCGCACCTGCACATCTTCATGGCGTTCATGGTCGCGGCGGTGGCTCTCGCGAAGGACAAGGAAGAGGGGGGCGATCTTCGCGCCCGCGTCATGAAGGCGCTCCGCGAGATCCAGGGGATGCCGCTGAAGACGCTGGGCTTTCTAGTGCGGGTCTTCCGCGTGCGCTTGCACAAGCCGAAGGAGGGCGCCCAGCGCACGGGCCACTTCGACTGGGCGGTGGGCACGCGCTCGACGGAGGGCATGAACCTCTACGAGCTCCTCATGAAGCTCGTGGCCTCGCAGGGGGCCGAGCTGACGTCGGGCCCAGCCCCGAGGGGGCCGCTGGCCCGCGCGGTCATCGAGCTGAACGGCCTCAAGAACTGAGCCACCGCATCAACTTGCGGAGCAGTGAGCGCCTAGCGGATCTTGTCCGCAGGGGGAATTTCTCGGCGGAGACGGTGCAGCGAGCTACGCGGCCGACAGTGGCCGCGTACGCACATCCCGCGCTGCCGTCGATCCCCATCGCTTCTATTCCCCCCGCTCGGAGACCTCCCTCTCGCCCCTCTCGCCCGTCTTGTCAGGACAGCGGCGCACAGGCATCGCGCCCTGCGGGTGGCGCCCAATAGGGAATGTGTGCCCCTCGGGCTGCCGCTCGGGCGCCGTCGCCAGGGCCGGCCGGACACTTTACGCCGTTTTTGTGTTTTTGGCCGTTTTTGCGGAAAGTGTCCGGCGCTGTTTTTCTGGCATCAGGACAGCGGCGCACAGGGCTCACGCCTTGCGGGTGGCGCCCAATAGGGGATGTGTGCCCCTCGGGTTGCCGCTCGGGCCCGTGCCTCCACTGGAGGAGCGCGCGGCGGGCGCCAGTGCTACAGCAGGCTGAACGCAGCCCACTCAGAGTCCTTTCGGGTAGGACGGCCTACGATGACGTTCAGGACTCCACGAGCTTTGCTTGCTTGCTCCTCTTCCTCCTCCTCCCCCTCCCCCTCGACAAGCTGTTCTCGGGGCTGCCGCCGTCAGCCGCAGATGTGATGGGTCTCGGAGGAGGAGCCCATACCCGTCGGTCGTTGAAAGTAGGCCAAAAACAGGTCTTTTGGGACTCCCAGATCCCAATCTGCTTTAGCTGCCTTCCTACTTCAAGAGTCGAGTGGTCGGAAGCCCAATCAATTTACCTCCAACGCTTTCCTGCTTCATGGTTCTACCTAGTTCTTCCGACCCACGGGTGTTCGCTGGATTTGCTTCAAATTTCTGGTCAGGACGTACTCCAGGAGAGGTCTGGGGAGTAGCGGTATCGGTACCTTCTGGTTTCCTCAGGGTTGATGTTGTTATTCAGCGATGGGTTTCTCCGGCGATGAGCATGTCCAAACGTTCCATCTGGGTAGCACGACGAGCGTTGTCCTTCGGTTGATCTTGTTGCGGATGTACGTACGAGTCATAGCGGGGTAGCTGGGTGTGACTTGAATTGGATACTCTGACCCATACGCGGGTGCCATACATATGTTGTGCAACTTCTAGCTTCTACTATGCAAATGTAACCGTGTGGGGCCACCGGATAATTGCTGCGGCATTCGCCTTCGCAGCGTGGGTATTAGCTTGGCCACGCCACGCTTTGTGGTCAAAGTCGTCCGCTGTATGTACCCCCGCCTGGACGCAGGCTCACTGATGATCTCAGCCGACAGCGACGAGCGTAATGTCGTTCAGGCGAGCTGTCAGATGTCCACCTCCTGCTCCTCACGCACCTGCTCCTTCACTTTCCCCTCCCCCTTCCCTCCCCTTCCCTCCCCTCCCCCTTCCCTCCCCTTCTCTCCCCTCCCCTTTACCTTTCCCTCCCCTCCCCCTTCCCTCCCCCCCCCTCACCCCTGCCACTCTTCCTCCCCTTCCCCATCCCCCTTCCCCTTCCCCCGTCGCGATGGGACGAGTGCCCGAGGGGGGAGAGAGCAGCGCAGCGAGCGGCGAAGCAAGAGGCGTGCACGTCTGGAAGCAGTACGCGGAGTACCACGGCTATTCCATCTACAGCGGCATGCCCGAGAACGCGGACGTCGACTGCCCGGGGCTCGAGGCGCCTCTGCCCGGGCGCCGCCGTGCCTGCCGCGCGCGCGGGCGAGAGCAGAGGCGACAGCACTCATCGGACCCGTCGCGTGCAGGAGGAGCAAGCGCCTGGGGGGAGGTGGAGGGGGGAAGAGAGGCAGCAGGGCTGGGGCACGTCCGAGGGCACGTCCGAGGGCACGGGGCCGCGCCTCGGAGCCCGCAGCCGGGGAGAGGCTCGAGCAGGCGCTCGCCTCGCCTGCGCGCGAGAGTGACCTCTGGTGCGGGTCCACTGGGGTCCCCCGATCGCCGAACGCGAGGCGGCAGTGGCGTCTGGCGCGCTTGTGTTGGGCCCCCTCCCCGCGGCCCCCCGTGAAGCCGCGCACAAGAGGTCATTCTTGCCCAGGGTCACTTTTGCGTGTAGCCGAAGCTGGATCGCGCTTGAGAGCCCGCAGCCCGGGAGAGGCCCGAGCAGGCGCTCGCCGCCTCCAGGGGGCGCCAGGTCCGTACATCTCGTGGCTCGAAAGACGGGGGTCACAAGACGGTGGTCAATGCAACGGGGGGGTCCTGGAGGATCCTGCAGGGCCAGGGTCCCACTGACCTGGGCTTGGGTGCAGGACTCTGCAGGATCCTGCAGGAGCCTGCAAAGGGTGACGGGCCCGGGTCTGGCTTGACCCGGGCCAGCAGATCCCCGACGCGAGCCTGCCTCTGCGCGCCTCTGCGCCGCCGCCCTGCCGGAGGCTGGACAAAAAAGAGGGCGCGCTCGGGAGACCGCAGCACGGCAGAGGCTCGAGCAGGCGCTTGCCGCCTCCGTCGGCCAGACCTGCGAGGGACCTTTCGCCGGACTGACCTCTAGTGCGGGCCCAACGGGGTCCCCCGACCGCTGACTGCGGAGCGGTGGCAGCGGCTTGCGCGCCTGGGTCTGGCCTCCCCGCGTCCTCCCCCGCGAAGCCGCGCACGAGAGAGGGTCATGCTCGCCTTGGGCCACGCTGGCGTGTCGCCGACGCCGGAGGGCGCTGAGCCCGTACATCTGCCCCGATTCTGGCCGGGCGGGCGCGAACCGACAGGTGAAGCATCGTTGAAAAGCACACCTTGGCCCCCTCCTTCTGCGGCACGGGTCTCCCGCAGGAGCGATCTCTGCGGTGGCCCAGGGGGGCCCAGAGAGCCGGGCGACGAGGAGGCCTGGTTGGGAGATGACCGCAGCAGCGCGCTTCTTGGCAGCAGCAGGGGTGAAGAGTCGGGTCGAGGAGTCGGAGGTTGGTTGTACGGGGGCAGGGGTGAGCGCACGACCATGTGAGCGATGACCAAGACCAGGCCTTGCGCGAGATGACATAACGACCTTTCGCCGCGGCTTACGCGGGCCGGCAGCGCGGCACGCCACACTGGAGACGAGGGCGCTTGCGCTCACGCGCGACCTTACGCGGGCAGCCTCCGCGCCCGTGTCGGCGCTGTCGACCACGTTTGCTTGCGTCGCCCATGTGCACCTCGGCGTCTTCCAGTGGCTTGCGCCATTCCGCCGACCCTCAGAATCTGGGCCTCCCAGAGGGGGTCCGAGCAGATGGGTCGGAGGATCGCGCCGCATCGCCGATGCATCGGCGATTCGGCTCGATGCGGAGCCGATTTCCGCCAGGCTGGCGGCGGGGATGCACCGCCGACGTCGCCGGTGCATCGACAGTGCATCGCCGACGCATGGCCAGTGCATCGCCGATGCATCGGGTATGCGGCGCGATCCTCTGGCCCTATCTACTTCGACTCCATCTAGGAGGTCTCTTAAGAAGGAGTCATAACTTGCGACGATCGTGGAAGTTTGCGAATATGCCTACGGCGAATCACCGCCGCCCCCTGCCTTTTTGGCAGGACCTGCGTGGTCGTGGTCGAAAGTTGGGTTAGAGCTATCAGACAATGTGTTCCCCCAGTTGTAGTTGAAACATTTCGGGGAACACGTGAGGACGAGGATAATGAGGAGAAGAAGGAAAAGGGAGTAGGAGCAGGAGGAGAAGGAGGAGGAGGAGGAGGAGGAAGAGAAGGAGGAGGAGGAGGAGGAGGAGGAGGAGGAGCAGAAGGAGGATGATGATGATGATGGTTATGATGATGATGAGGAGGAGGAGGAGGAGGAGGAGGAAAAGGAAGGCTTCTCTTAGAAGCCTCTTGGGGCACTCTTGGGGTCTCCTGGGAGCTTCCTGGGGGCCTCTTGGGGGCCTCCTTGGGCCTTTTGGGGAGCCTTTGGGGGCTTGTTCGGGGCCTCCTTGGCCGTCGTAGGGCGTTCCTGGTCCGTCTGACGCCGTTGGAAGCCGTCCGTCTTGGATGCCTCTCTGAACCGTCTTGGGGCCCTCCTGAGGCGCGTCAGGGCCTTCCTGGAGGCCATCTTGGGCGTCGTGGAGGCCTCATGGACCGTCTTGGGGCCCTCTTGCGGCCGTCTTGGGGGCATCTTGGGCCGTCATGGGGCCATCTTGGAGGCCTCTTGGGCGATCTGGCGGCGACCTTGGGGGCCTCTCGGGCCGTCATGTCACGTCGGAAGGTCGAAAACAAGCAAATGCATAATCTTTCAAACACCTAAGGCGATTGAATGATTTTGGCCTCTTCGGGACCTCCTGGAGGACCTCTTGGAGGCCTCTTGGGCCGCATGGAAGCCTCTTGGAGGCCTCTGGGGACGTCTTGGGCCATCTTGGGCTGTTTTGATGGCTTCTCGGGCGGGATTGGAGAAATCTTGGACCCTCTTTGGCCGCTTTGGAGGCCATGTTGAACCTTTTTGGGCGAACTTGGAGGCCACCTTTGGCCATCGTGGCCGTGTCTTGGCCGTCTTGGACGCCATCCATGGCCCGAAATCCCACGACCTGTGCATTTTCGGCGGCTTTCCGGGTGGTCGGCGCGCTGGGCCGAAGCCCCAAAGGGGGAGTTCGGCTTGAAACAAGGCCCCCAACCAACATCGGTAGGGCTCAGCACGCCAGGCACCCCTGTGAGAAATCAGCCGGGGGCGGCGGAGGACGGAAAGCGCGTGTAGCGTCGCGATCCCTCTCGTTTGCCGGGAGACATGACAAGGGCGGGGTGGGGTGGGGGGTAGGCAACCCGGGCGTCAGAGCCAATCGCCCCAAGTTTAAGCTATTTTCGGCCCAAGACGACCCAAGTGCCCCAAAAGCGCCCAAGAGGCCCGAATCGGCCCAAGAGGTCCCAATATACCTCCAAGACGGCGTCGGAGAGGTCCAAGAGGGCCCGAAGACGGCCCAAGACCGCTCAAAGAGGGCCCGATATGGTCTCAAGACGGCCCAAAAGGCCCCAAGACGCCCCCAAAGGCCCCCGAAGGGGGCCCCCAAGAGGCAAAAGTTGTCCCATTCCCTAAGTCAAACGAGCATTTTTAGCATATTCGCTTCTTTGGTCTTCATAGCGTCCAGAACGGTCCAGGAGGCCCCCAAGACCGCCTCAAGACGGCCCTGGAGACCCCCAAGACGGCCGAAGTGGGCGTCAAGACGGCCCGAGAGAGCCCGAAGACGGCCTAGGAGAGGCCCCCGAGGGCCCGAAAAGGTTCCCGAGAGTGCCCCAAGAGGGCCACAGGAGGTCCCCAAGGGGAGGGCCCCCAGAGAGCTCCAAGACTGTCCAAGTCCGCCAAGACGGCGCAAGAGGGCCCCAGGACGGCCCACAAGGGCCCCGAGCCGACCCAAAAGAGCACCAAAAGGACCCCAGGAAGGCCCAGACATGCATTTGTTTCGTTGATTTTCGCAAGGTTTGTTTTTATTGAATCGCTTCGCTCATTCCGCCGGCCCGTATTGTGCCATCGCTGGTTCTTGGGGGGTCTTGGGAGCCCTTGGAAGCTTCGTGGGAGCTTCTTGGGAACTTTGGGAGGCATCGTGGATGGCTCTGGGTGGGCCCTCTTGGTGGTCTCTTGGGGGGGTCTGCCTGGCCTCTTGGGGGCCTCCTGGGAGCTTCCTGGGGGTCTCTTGGGGGCCTCTTGGGGCTTTCTTGCGGCCTGTTGGGGGCCTCTTGGGGCTCTCTTGGGGGCTTCGTGGGGCTACTTGGGGGCTTGTAGGGGCATTTCGGGGGCGTGTTTGGGCGGGAGGCTCAAAATTTCCGTTCAGGTTGCCCCTGTGGACCTCAATCATGGGGCCGTCTTGGGGCCTCTTGGACCGTCTTGAGGGTTTCTTGGGCCTTCTTGGAGCGCTCTTGGGCCGTCTTTGAGCGGTCTTGAGGGTCTCTCGGGCCGTCTTGGGGTGATCTTGGGGGCCTCTTGGACCGCCTTGAAAGGTGTGAAAGACGAAGAGGCGGATATGTTAAAAATGCACGCTTTCCCTAAGGGAATGAGACGGTTTTTGCTTGTGGGAGCCCTCTTGGGACGCCGCTTAGGGACCTCTTGGGGCGTCTTGAAGGCCTGTTGGGCCGTCTTGAGGCCATCGTAGGCGCTTGGGGGTGATATTTCGGCGTCTCCCGGCTCTCTTGGACCGTCTGGAGGGCTTCTCGGGCCCCTCTTGGACCGATTTGGAGCCCTCCTGGGCTCCGAAAAAGAGTTCTTGAGGGTTTCTTGGGCCTTCTTGGAGCGCTCTTGGGCCGTCTTTGAGCGGTCTAGAGGGTCTCTCGGGCCGTCTTGGGGTGATCTTGGGGGCCTCTTGGACCGCCTTGAAAGGTGTGAAAGACGAAGAGGCGGATATGTTAAAAATGCACGCTTTCCTAAGGGAATGAGACGATTTTTGCTTGTGGGAGCCCTCTTGGGACGCCGCTTAGGGACCTCTTGGGGCGTCTTGAAGGCCTGTTGGGCCGTCTTGAGGCCATCGCAGGCGTTTGGGAGTGATATTTCGGCGTCTCCCGGCTCTCTTGGACCGTCTGGAGGGCTTCTCGGGCCTCTCTTGGACCGTTTGGAGCCCTCCTGGGCTCCGAAAAGGGACCTTGCCGGGAGTCTGCCGGGCGGGACCTTGCCGGGAGTCTGCCGGGACCTTGCCGGGACCTTGCCGGGACCTTGCCGGGGTACTTTTCGTCCGGGGACCCCCAGGGCCCACCCCGCGCGCGCGAACTAGAAATATTGTTGAGCAGTTACCGGAGATCTTAGCA